CAGACTTAAGAAAATTTTTTTAAAAAATCATTTAAAATAAAACTTCAGTCTCTTATTTAAAAATTAGTTCACGTGATCAGGAGTAAATATTCATTACCACAGTTTTCAGAACAACTGTTTTAAAAGCATGTAATTCAGAAGTAAATGGGCTATATGCTTTGTTCCAAAGCAGTTATCTTTTTTTTTTTTTTAGCAGTTATTGCTTAAGAAGTTGCTTTCCTCCCCACGCCCTCCCGCAAGTTACAATAAAGCACCTATAATTGAAAGGAAGAGTAAAAAGAACAAAAAGAGAAGAAAATAAGGAAAGCGTAGTGTTTCCAACGAGTGCATAAATTTAAGTTATAAACATCATATCCTTGAGATTAACAATTTTTTCTACACAAAATCACCTTACTCAGAATACAGGACTACATCATGAGTCAAATATTTTAATATAAAATGCAACATTGAAGAATGAGGTTGACTTTGCTTTCACTAGTATGTTAATTGCAATGAATGAAAGCTGGGAACTAAACATAAAGCATGTCTTATTATTAAAAAGATAAATATTAAAAAATGATGTATGATATGAGAGTCAAACAGAAAAAAGTATATCATGCTGTTTCACAGAAAGAGCAATGAAGGTATTCTGTGTTCTGTAATCTGTTTTGTTTTCAAAGATGCTAAAATAATTACCAAGACTTGTTTTGTGAAAAGTGGAACAGTTGAAGCTCAACACAATATCTGCAAAATTAAATAGTCTACACATAAGACTAAATAGCTGGGAACTAAGCAGAATGTTTCACAGAAACTATTTCTTTACAAAAGCAATACTTTTAAAATTGATTCACTGCTTAACATTCTAATAGTGAAACACCTACTCAAGGAACTATCTTCTTTCTTTTTCTATTTTTTTAAGATATAATTTGCTCTTCTAAGCTCTTCTTTGCAAACTGATAGGGAAACTTTCTTAGAAATACTATATTCATCAGCCGGGGAAGCGGGGGGAGACAAAATTTCTTAGAAGTAGCCTTATCCGTACATCAAATGACTGTCCAATGCCATGTAATATTAATATATTTTATGCTGTCATGGTACTAAATCTTAAATCCTGTTTCATTTTAGTCTTCCTGGAAAAAAACTGTGCTCTAATATACTGCTCTAATTGTGTTCTCTGGGTATTGCTTATTTGAACTATTTAAGCCTTTCATTACATAAGGCTACTTGATCATTTGTAATGCGCTGCCTGAACTAGATAGGTATGCAGTAGAGTTTCCTGAACTCACAGCCCTCTTTTCTCTACATTATTAAACTCCACATTTAAAGACCAAAATTTACTTGGAATCATATATTTAATCAGTTTATACTCCTTAAGCAAAGCCTTGAGAATATTTGTTTTTATTCATTCTTTCCTTATTGTTCCTGTTGAAATTATATCTAGTTTTGTTTTTGTTTTTTCCTTATTGGGCATAAGGCTGGAATTTTTGCCTAATTTCATTTGAAAAGCATTTTTGGGAAATTTACAATGAAGGTTCAATCCATACATAAAATCTGGTCGGTAAGTACTTGAGATCAAATTTTTAAAGTTTCTGGCTCTCTCTTACCTTATACACTTCCTCACACATACAATTAAATAATGAAAACATCTATGTATCTTATGTTAGTAAAAATAAATATAGATTTAATCAAAGTAAAGATACTATCCCATTTTCATTGGTCTAAATTGTGTTTATATTCTTTTACTTTCCTTTTAGGAGCTCAACTTCCTCCAGTTTCAAATTATTAACCTGATAATGTAGAACCTGTTTACAATATAGTTATGTATGTGTTAATATTAATACCTGGTAATTAATACCAATATTATAAAAAACAATTATTTAAATTATTTTTTCATGAGTTGTTTTTGCCTTGACAAATACGCTTGAAATCTTCTGTTAGGAAGTTTTGACATGCATTTATAACTCAGACACAAACAAATAAGTAAACAATGAAGATTAGATGGAGACAGAATTCTTAAGTATAATTCATAAATGTATCAAATAATTTGCATAGTACATACATTTACTTATTAAGGATAATGATATATTTTTGTTTTCTCCTTTCCTAAAATGCAACTTGTAAATTCCTGTCAAATATTTTTATGAGCAAATATATAAGTAAACAACCACAAGTAATATTCACATGAAAGTCTTCAAATATGTAAAAAGGCAACTCCTACCTCCATCTCCAGATCCGGATCCTGCATCTGGGAGGAAAAAAGAAATATTTTATTTTTTCTTGAAAAACATATTTAAAACTATTTATGACATTTTAGTTCATGTTTACGTTCTTCACTAAGACAGTAATATAATTGAGAAAATTCCTATTATTTAATCTGAAAATGTGTATTCACATCAATTTAATTTCTATAGCATAACTTATAAAATAAATTCTCTATTACTTTCATGCTTAAATTTTATTTAAAAAGGATTATCTAGTTTTAAAATAATTCCTAAGCTTGACCATGTAAAATCTCTCATTTTAGTTTTAATCAGGATAAATCTGGTGCCATTAAGAAAAACAAAAAATTTGAAAATGAGATGCTTATAACAATCAGTGAGACTTAGAATTTAAACAGTCTAAGACATGTAGCAAATAAACTCGTAATTAAGCTTTATATTCTTGAAAATTGCATATGCACAAAGAGAAAAACAGTTTAAAAATAAATCTTTTTATATAAATGTTAATATGTATTCCAAATACCACAATTGTGAGTGAGTCTATCAGCCACCAAGAGCATTCCTTGCCTTTGAAATCAGTAGAAGAGTGAGATTAACTAACTCTGTGTTTGTGCTTAAAACTGCATACACCCTAGGTGAGTGATGGCGAACCTATGACACGCGAACTCATTTTTTTGGCTGATTTTTCTTTGTTAAGTGGCATTTAAATATATAAAATAAATATCAAAAATGTAAGTCTTTGTTTTACTATGGTTGCAAATATCAAAAAATTTCTATATGTGACATGGCACCAGAGTTAAGAGTTTTTCAAAATGCTGACACGCCGAGCTCAAAAGGCTCGCCATCACTGCCCTAGGTGGTGCTCACAATAAAAAGCAATCTCTCTCTGCATTTCTCCCTCCATCCCGTCCCGCCCCGCCCTCCGACAAGAGGACAACTGGCCAGAGGTGTCTATTTCTGCCGGTTCCCAGGAGCACCCAGTTTTCTAGTTGGAGTCAACAGCATTGGGATTCCATCTGCCCCCACCTGTTAAGGGAACAGACATTGCCTTCCTTCTACCTGCATACTTCTTTCCCATTAAATACATTAGGTTATGTGCCTTTGATATTAATACTGGGAAATAAGACCGGTACTGGTATTCTCTGCCTGGTATGCCCTCATCTCACGTTGAAATCTTAACCAGAGTTTAAGAACTATTTCAAATGCCACTTCTGTAAAGTTGTGGTTGATGTTTTATTCCAATGAAAGCAAAACTTGCCACCATGACTCTTTATTGAGAGGCACTGAATGAAAAAAAGCATAGTGTATGAAAATCCACAGATGACCAACACACACGGAAGAAGAGATGCCTCCTCAATAGCCCTCCTTGGCATGTTAGGCATTAGTCAGCCATGAAGGAGCAGTAGTTGGAATTGCCAGCCTTGGTGGAAACTCATATTAACAAAATTCACAGGATCTAACTGTATAAAAATGTCATCTTTAATTAACTGCTAATATGACTAAGGCTCATGTTTCTGGGCCATCATATCCTTTCTTGAAAGATAAGCTAGTTGGTAAAACAATCTATAATAACAAAACTGTTTTATGCTAATTAGACTGGACAGCCGAATGACTTTCCGGACGTCATTCCGGACAAACTTCCGGACGAAGCCACAGAGGCAGGGGCCAAGGCAGAGGCAGCTAGGAGTGATCAGGCAGGCAGGCGAGCAGTTAGGGGCAATCAGGCAGGCAGGCGAGCAGTTAGGGGCGATCAGGCAGGCAGGTGAGTGGTTAGGGGCGATCAGGAAGGCAGGCAAGCAGTTGGAGGTGATTAGGCAGGCAGAGTGGTTAGGGGCGATTGGACAGGCAGGCAGAGTGATCAGGTTGCAGAGGCTGTTAGGGGCTATGAGGCAGGCAGGCAAGCAGTTAGGGGTGATCAGGCAGGCAGGCAGAGGGGTTAGGGGTGATCAGGCAGGCAGACAGAGTGGTTAGGGGAAATGAGGCAGGCAGGAAAGTGGTTAGGGGCAATCAGGCAGGCACGCAGATGAGCAGTTAAGAGCCAGCGGTCCAGGATTGCAAGAGGGATGTCCAACTGCCAGTTTATGCCCGATCCCACAAGGGTTCCTGTTTTCTTTCTCATCAACGTTTCTAACTCTCTATCCCTCTCCCTTCCTCTCTGTGAAAAAAATCAATAATATATATATATTTTTTAAAAAGAATAAAAACCCTTTGTAGTAAGTATAGAAAATAAGGATTTTTAAAAATTTTATCTTTATTAATGAAAGTATTACAGACTCCCCTTTTTCCCTCCCATTGGCCCTCTCCACCCTGCTCTCCCCACCTCCAGGCCTTCACCACACTATTGTGTATATGGGTTATGCATCTAGGCATACAAGTTCTTTGGATAATCATATAATCTGACTATTTAATTGCAACAGATCAAAAAAGGCTGATGCATTCGTCTCCAGAGTAGAACAGTCCTGTCAACTTAACTGATAATCATAAGCCATGGCACCATCACTTTTGGACAGGACAGTGTTTAAATGACCAAGGCTTATCAAATCTCCTTTTTGTATACCTTCCCAAGTAAAATTTTAACTGATTTTATTTGAATGAAACGAAACCTTAACTCAGTATTATTCACAATAATCAGGGGCTAACAACAGGTTATATGATTATAGCACTAATACATTCTACCTGTGCTTTAGTTGAATGTGTATAGTTTTATTCTTTTCCCACTAGACCAGTGGTTCTCAACCTTCCTAGTGCCGCGATCCTTTAATAGAGTTCCTCATGTTGTGATGACCCCCCAACCATAATATTATTTTCATTGCTACTTCATACCTATAATTTTGCTAGTTATGAATAGTCATGTAAATATCTGATATGCAGGATGTATTTTCATTGTTACAAATTGAACATAATTAAAGCA